ATAGATGGGGTTCCAGGGGCTGGGTGTGGAGGACATGGGGAGATGCTGGGTGGGCAGAGGGTACAAGCATCAGCGATGAGTAGACTCCGGGCCTTGTGCTCAGCATAGAGACCACAGTGAAGTTCTGATGCTAGCTCCTCACCACAAAGCAAACAGTGACTGGGAGGTGGCAGATGTGTTAATGATGATTATAACAATCCATTGCCGCACAGTGTGCACCACATTTCCACACGGCACTTTTCAAATGGACGCTGCTTTGTCAGAGATTAATGGAGCTGGGATAAAGTGCCATTAGGACCCTCTGTAGCTGAGGAAACACCGTCCAGGTTGTTCAACCGCTTGATTTGGGAGGCACCTTTACCACAGCCAATGTCATAAGCTCAGTGTTGGTACCCCGTTCCGGGTCATAAATTGGGAGCTCAGTGTTAAGAAGTGTGGCCTTGGGACTGGCCCAGCCACAAGAGCAGGGCCAAATGAGTAGTACCCAGATATGAGGCCTGAGGGGCCCTCTGTGCACTTCTACCACTCAGAGGCACTCAGCAGGAGCCACTGGTGAGTAGCAGGCCTAACGGACACTGAATCTGCCAGCACCTCGACCTGGGCCTTCTCTGCCTCCAAGAAGCAGGAGCAGTAAATTTCCATAGTTGGTATATCACTCAGACTAACCCAGGGAGAATCACAGCAAGTATTCTGTAGGCAGCCACCCTGGATGCCAGGCAAAAGAGGCACAGTCATCAAATCATGTGGTAAATCCAATATGCCAGAGTCCCAGAAGTTACTAACCTAGGCTTACTCCTGAGGCTGCAGTCTGCACCAGCTCCAGGATACTAAGAGTGAAGAACACGAGGTGCCATTGCTGGAGCATGGAGGACAAGGGAAACCATGTGAGGGCTCATGTGGGACAGGACTCTTCGGGGAGATGCATGGGAGATGCAGGGCGGTGCAGGAACATGGCCACCATGGGCATGAGACCAAGCCCTCACTCCCTGGGGTTACTGTTCTCATATCCAGGTAGGTATTAGCTATCAAAAAATTTCACTCCATCATGGGCTTCTCACCATGCTATTTCTACTACTACAGTGGAACCAGGCAACCATGGACTGAAACCTCTGAAACCATGAGCCAAACAAACCTTTCCTCTTTGAGTTTGTTTAACTCAGGCATTTTGTCACAGTGACACAAAGCTGGCTAACACACTGTGAGAGCAGGTTCATCCTCACAAGAATAACTTGCTGTGAAGAGAGTCAGCTCCTCCTCCACACGTACCTCTGCTCTTCCATTTTGCCTGCCCAAGCTGAGGCCATTTTGATCACCCAGCCTTGAACACCTCAAGAACTGTGAGTCAAAATAAAATTCTACATACTACTGAGGATCTAGGATTCTATTGTAACATCAGAAAACAGACTGTGATGCATTTCAAAGTGAGAAGGAGCCAGATGTGGGAGTTCATGCCTATAATCCCAGCACTCAGAAGACTGACAGGAGGATTGTTGCAAGTTCAAGACCAGGCTGGGCTACAAAGTGAGCTTAAGACCAGTCTGAACTGCATAGCAAGACCCTGTCTCAGAAAGAAAAACACACACACACACAAAGGGAGGAGGGTCACTTTGCACATCCATCCTGTTGTGTCAGTTTCTAGATGGAGTCCCTGTCATACTCCAGTTACCCTGCAGAACTCATAGTCCTGTTAGGTAGAAAGGACCCCCAAATTGTTTGAAATGAGCAGAAGGCCTATGCCAGACTCCAGAATTTGTGGTGGCCAGAGAGTTCCTTCCCACTGGAAGGCCACAATCTACTAGTGTCCCCATTGCCACTGTCCCATGCTTGACATCCCAATCCCTATGGATGGTTCTGAGAGGTTCATGACCCACAGCACAGCCAGGGCCAGGAGCAAGTGTGACAGAGAGCAGGAACAGGATCTGCCCCTCCAAGGAGGTCAGAGGCTCCCATGTTACTGAAGGGAAAGGATGCTGCGGGGCTCTCAGCCTCCAACAGGAGACCATTGATGCTCAATGAAGTCCTGATTCACCTAAGAATGAGCCAGACAGACTCAAGATGAGGAACTTCCCACCCAGGGCTAATCGTGAACATTCAAGGGCCTGCGTGACAGCATGCACGGAAGCCTCCTCTGCAGCTGACACGGAGCTCAAGAACCGAGGGACCATGAGGGAACCGAGCTTCACAGGCCATGGAGCCAAGAGCCCTGGCGGGTGCCTTGCTCCAACTTCAGAGCCCCAGTGTACAAAGAATGAGACAAGGGGAACTTCCAGACCCCTACACCTGCAGAGAAGAGACCTAGCAACCCTCCCAAGTGGGGCAAGTGTCATGGAACAAAGCCACGCCCAGCACAGCTCAATGAGGACAGCACAGGGCCTGCAAGAGAAACAGAGATTGCACCCCTAGACTTCCAAGGAACAGCAGGGCCAGCATACCACACAAGAGCCAGGGAGCAGGAATGAGGGTACAGCACCAGGGAATAGAGAAGCTGGATAAGAGAGGAAGTGCTAGTAAGGGAGGGTTTTAGTGCCCTGTGAGGCCCTGGGGACAGAGCTCACTCCATGCAGGGCACCAGGATTTTGACAAGAAGTGGTGGTCCACACTCTGGAAGCAGAATGCTTGCCACGGCACAGTGAGGGAGAGAAAAGACTCCAAGAAGAGGCCCTGCTTGAGCCAGGTGACTGCAGGCAGGAAGCCCGCCAGCCACACATTCTCTAGAGCACTTGGGGACACATGCTCATCCTCCAGTGAAGGATGGGACAATGAGTGGCCATGGAGTCCTGAGCGGCAGCAGACTAGGCTGAGGATAGGAGATCTGTGCAAAACCAGACTCCTGGACAACAGGGAACAGGACCAACAAGCAGGGACAAGAGACAGTGCCTTAGCAGAGACAGGCGTGTGAGTGCAGTGGAGCAACAGGAGCCAGGTGGCAGCCAGTGGGGAGCCAGGCTGGCGGGGCACTATGGAGAAGGATACAGAATGTAAAGTCCTCAGAGTGAGAGGCCGAGAAGTGGAGGGTGGTTCATTCATACAATCAGAATCAGTCAAGACTGGAAAGTGCTACAGTTTGACTGTAGTCTCTCCAAAATTCAAATCTTGTGTTGCCCATGTGGTAGTGTGAAGACAGTGACTTTCGGAGGTGGTAGGGCCATGAGGGCATTCCATTATGGTTGACATCAGATGCTCATCTGGGCTCAGTTCACTGGCCGTGGTGGTGCACAACTGTAATACCAGCACTCTGGGAAGCGGAGGCAGGAGGATCACAGATTCAAGCTCAGCCTGGGCAATCCAGCAATTTAGTGAGACAAGAAAAGAAAAGGAAAAAAAATGGGCTGAGGTTGTAGCTCAGGATGGAGGCCCTGCGTTCAAGGCCATCACCAACACACATACATGCAAACACATGCATGAGGAGGCTGCTGTCCCTTGCTGGTCACCTGCCTTCTGCTATGAGAGGACACAGTTCCCTCCTCTCAGGTTTCAGGTGGAGGTGTCATCACTGAGACAGAAGCTGGTGCTCACCAGGCGATGACCTTGCTGATGGCTGGCGTTGGGCCTTCCAGCCACCGAAGCATGAGAAGCAAATTTGTAGGATTTATAAATAACCGGTCACTGATGTGTAGTCAGAGCAGAACAGAGATTAAGACAGAAGTCACGGCACTGCCAAAGTCTTGATGCCACACTGTATCTCTGAGCAGAAAGGATGAGGTCCCAGGAGGAGGCCCCACAAATGTCACCTGACGGGAAGCACGTGGAGGTGTTTGTGGGGGTCACAGCATGCTGAGAATTGAGACTGTTGATGCTGACTCTGAGAGGCTCACACCCACTTTGTCTATTCTGTGAGAATGAGCAGTTCAGGGACTGGCTCCTGCCCTGCCTGGGCTCACAATGGCCTCCTGGGTCCCTAGGCCAGCCTGTTGGTCGCCCCACTATCAGAGACCTAGCCTAGATCCCCAATCTCCCAAATAAGTGTACTGCAAAGGCTTAAATAAGTGAGATAAATGGTAAATAAGTGAGATAAGTGGTAATGATCCTCCAGGAGGATCAAAACCCTCTGCAGAATTCATAGCTCTGGTGGCTGAGACAGGGGATGTCTCTGGACAATCTGTATTTTTTTTTTTTTCAAACAAGGCAAGAACCAGAATAGACCTTGGGAATGTTTCAAGGACTTTTCTAAGTAACAGATTATGTTAATGTAGGAGAAGTATCTTAGGAGAGGATTTCCATGTTGCATTTCACTACCGGGGTGAAATGCCTGCTTCTGCAGTCTTTATTTAGTTCATTGGAGTTGGAGCCAGGTGTCCTCAACCGTCATCTTATCTTGCCCCCGGCCATGCAGCAGCCCTACCTGTGTGTTCTGTTTCTAGTTTCAATGACTCCCAACACTCCACCACCAGGACCCAGGCATGTTTCTGAAGTCTGACTCCTTCCAGGGACCCCAGTGATGCTCACATGAGCTGGCTCCTGTTACATCGAGAGCCATCACTGCTCAGGGACCTGACATGGCCTCACACCTGGCTTTTCCTCAGTGCTTCCTCCCCACACCTACACCCACCTCCATGGATATGCACAGGCAGCTGCTGTGCGGCCCCTGCTCAAGACCTGGGGTCATCCCGGAGTTCCCATCCTCTGCACTCCTACCTCCCACACACCAGGCTCCTCCCATTTGCTGAAGGCCCAAGACCACCACAGCCCCGAAGTATGCTTTCTCATGGGTCCCCGTCTTGGCCTGTGTTCCATTTTTCTGATTGACTATCTCAGGCTGTATAACAAAGAAGGGAGGTTTAATCAGGCATGGTGGCCATGAGGCTGGGCAAGTTTGAATCCAGCATAGGCAACCTAGCAATGTACCAAAAACTTGTCTCAAAGTGAAAAAGAGTTAGGGATGCATCACACTGTGAACATTCTGGCTTCAGTCTTCAGTACAAAAAAAAAAAAAAAAAAAAAAAAGGCCCTTTTTCAAATTTTTTTTAAAAAATTCCCTTGTTTATTTGGTTGGTTGGTTGGTTCTTTGAGACAGGTTCTCACTATGTGGCCCAGACTGGCCTCAAACTTGCAGTGCCTCTTGCCTCTGCCTCTCATATGCTAGGAATACAGCCACATACCACCACACCAGGCATAAAAACTTTTTTAAGAATTGCAAATTAACTCAGTGCAAAAGTTTTGGGATCAATCTCCAGTACTGGAAAAAAGAAATTAAGGTTTATTTAGCATGTAGCCTGGCGGTCTAGAGTCCAGGAGCCTCGTCTGAGGGGCTGTGCAGCAGTCCAGGGCATTGCGGCAACATGGCACAAGCCAGACTGAGTGCAACAACCTCTTGATTCTGAGCACTCAGAACCCTCACAGCCATGACCTCCCAGCACTGGGGCTTGATTGTCAGTGCATGAGCCATGGGGGATGTTTCCTAACCACAGCACTTTCCAGCCACACAGGCAGAAAGCTGAGCCAGCTTGACTTACAAAGCCCAGCCTGGTCCCACCACCCAGCAGGACTGTGCAGCTGCTGACGACCCTGGCCAAGACTGTTGCTGATGAAGGCCAGCTCTTCTCCACACCCTGGACCACTGCTTCTCCTCCTGCTCCTCCTCCCTCTTCTCAAGAACCACAACTTCAATTCTGAGGACCATGTGAGGGTATGAGCATCATCCATTGTGAAAGGGACCCAAAGAGGGCACCATTCTAGTCTGAGGACAGATATTCTTCATGCTGGAGCAGAAGGGCGCGTTAGGGGGCAGTCAAATTCTGTTGGGGAAAAAAAAATCCATCAGATCATTACTTTTTAAAAACAAAAATTGTGGCCTTAATGCTTCCCGAATACACCATGAGCATATCTCTGCCACTACACCATTTAAAAGTATCTCACTTCTCCATTGCCCTCCCTAAACTGTGGCAGGTGTGAGGCTGATTAGTAGTACAGCCAGGTTGGATTAGGCAATAATGTAGTGACCTGGCCACAGCATCCAGCCCCCGGGGCCCTGCCCAGCCCCGCATCTGCATGTCACTGTTCCTGATGGGAAGGCTCCATCTCCCTGCCAAGCTCAGCCAACCAGCCTGGCTCTGCCCATCACCACCTGCCTGGGCCTGGTCCTGGTGATATCCACCTGGCTGAGCTCCTTACTTCAAGGCTTCCTGCTGAAAATATATTTTGTAACTTCTAAACAAGTCCCACTGACTCTCCTAGTTTTATTTGTTTAATCAAATTAATTCTATTTTAATATTTCCATTAGCCATTTACTTTATTCTAAAACCTGGCACTGCAAAGTAATAAAACCTCTCAAATATTGACAGACAGTAGAGTAAATGTCATCCAGCCTCAGCCATCTGCTTTTCCTCCGAATTCCTCCATGTGCAGAGCCTCTGCTTGGGTGATTCATGGCCTCCCTGGGTTGTCCTCTCGATGGAGCTGCTACCCTGCCCCAGCCTTTGTGGGCCAGGCTGTGAATTCACAGGGTCAGAGACCAAGGAGACCACAGCCTAGATGTTGATTACAAAACCTACCAGGCAAATAGCCATGGATCCCCAGGCTTTAAAAATGAGTGAGCTGGCTGGAGCACAGCCACCCACCCTGCACCAGTGCAGGCAGCCCCATGTCCCCCAACAGGCGACCCAGAAGCCACAGCCACTCCCACAGGTCTTGACTTCTCTGCTTGCTTCCTTCCAGGGAGAAGAGGCAGACAATCTTCTTGCCAGACTGGGAACCCAGGGAGGTTGGTCTGCAGCTCACTCCCATGAGTCTGCTTTATCATGGGGTGACAGAGAACGTGCACCCTACCCCCTCCCCTGGCAGCTACATGAGCCAGGTTCAGCATGGACCTCAGGATGGACAGGCACAGAGCAGGTGCCAGCTGACACTTCCATTCAAGATACGAGCAAGCCTCAGATTCCCCTGCAAATACAGGGTACATCTGCCCCTGACCAGCTGGGCCTGGCCTGCTTCAGATGCCCAAAGGGCTACAGCAATGCCAAGGCCATTACCAGACACCAGCATCTGCTGGAATGTTGGCTGTTGCCTGACCTGTGTTGCAATCAGATTCTCTCCCAGGCTGGGGCCAGGAGGGACCACTTGGCTTCACCTCGCATTCGCCAGCTTGCAGTGCCTGCAAGTGTCCTCACTGTGTACACAACACACATGCCTGCAATTCCTCTACCACCGCCATGCACAGCCAGCAGCCAGAGATTCCACAGGCATGTCAGGACCAAGCCGTTCGGCCCTCAAAGCCCTGGCAGCCTCTCATTACTCCCTGCTCATTTGCTCTGCCTGCAGTTCTTCAGCAGGGCCACCTGGTGTAATGCAGGCCTCCCTGGGACTCTGCTGGAGTTCCAGAGGTGGGCAGAGGCCAGGACGTGTTTCTGTTCAGCCAGCATGCAAATTAGCCCACAACTTGCTCCAGGGACCCCAAGGTGCCTCAGGAACTCCTGTCAGGCACAGTCCAGCACGGAAGGGCTGTGTGCTGTATCCAGGGCACAAAAGCCAGGCAGCAGCCTGCTAGAGCCTCCAGGACAGGATTCCAGAAGAAAGGAGCGGCAGCACAAGTCCTGCTGACCAGGAAGTGGCCCAGGAAGAGACAGCTGTATGAGTGAAGGTTGAAAGATGGGATGGGTCCTGCATTTGGAGAAATCCACACAGCCTGCTTGGCTGTGAGGGTGGAAAGGAAGGCCAAGACCTAGCCCTGAGCAGGCTTGAACCTGAGAGCAGGGGGGAGCTACAGCAGGTCCTAGCCTGGAGGAGCAACGTGCTCTGACTTGAAGGACTGGAAGAACCCAGTCTATAAGGAAATGCTGCAGAGAGAAAGGGCTGGCTGTTGAAGGGCCTGGAAGGTTCCTCCAAACAAGGTCTGTGCCATGCCTTTGTCTGTGTGGCCCACAGGGAGGTTCAAGGAGGTGAACTGAGCTGCCAGCATAAAGCAGGTTGCCAGAGGTCACATGTGTGTGACCTTTCCAACCCAGGAGCAGCCCTGGAACCCTCGGTGGGGAAACTGGCATCCCATCCAATACTCGTTTGTTGAGCAACTTCTGTGTGGGCCTGCTTGGCCCATACAGGGACACAATCCTGAACAAAAAAGCTGCCGTCCTGCCCCTGCTATCCAGGATCCTTGAATAGGGAAACAAAATAGGAAGCCAGGACTCTTTTTAGGGCTGCAGTCAAGGAGAATGTGCCTGTGCAAATGCATCAGTGGCTTCATCTCCTTAGGACTCTAGGGCCTTCTGCATGTCCAACAGCATGACCAGCTCCTGTAGGGTATGAGTGGCTCTTCCACCTGGGGATCAGCAACTGCATCAGGGACTCATGTGGGGTGATCCTATTGGTGTCCATAGCAAGCACAGGTATGAAAACCATGACGTAAACCACACGAGGGCAGGAGTGGTGGCCTCACACAGTGAGGACTGCCAGGCAAGGACACAGGGCAGGGAGTGGTGGTAAGCAGCCAGCAGTGGCATCTGGGCCCTGCAGTGTGTGCCCTGCAGACACTGCAACTCCAAAAAGGGCCACAAGGCACCTTTGGGACACTCTTTTTGTTGTCCCAATGCTCTAGTCTTTAGACCCACAGCTTCTGCTGACATTCTGGGATCAGTGAAGTTCAGTGCAGCCCACCAATCTCACCACCCCAAAGGAGAGACAAGGAGCTATGTGCTCACAACAGAGCTCAGATTTTCATGGCCCTGAGGAGCACAGAGCACCAAGAGGGCTAACATGAGGTCACTGCCACTACCCTGATGGGACTGGAGGATAGCAGAAGGCCTGGCCAGCCACGGGACTTGGGCCCCAGAGATGTCACTGAGAGACCAGGCAAAGGCAGCTCTCCCTTCACTCTTGTGCATCAGACAGCCAGAGTGCCCCAGCAACAAGCTGGCTGCAGCAGGTGGGGTGCACACAGGGTGGTCCCCACAGAGCCACAGACTTGGTATGCTCCTCCTTGCTGCCCACAGAAACCCATGGGGAAACCCTGGAGACCCTGGAGGCCAAGCTGGATGCTGACCCTGAAGACCCAGGGGGCAGCACCCCTAGCACCCACATCCTGGGCCCTCTCCGGTGCTCTCCATCAGTCTCCCTGATTTCAGCCCGAGCTTTGCCTGCGGACAATTCTGTGGGGCCTCAGACAGGCTCCTCAGGGACACCTCAGTCTCAGGGCCCATGCTTCTTCAGCTGGACACACTACAGTCTGGGCAGCTGAGACCTTGTGAGTTTGCTTCCTGAGGTGACAGATGGCGGAGATAAGCTTCCAATTCAATCAGAATCCCCAGTATCCTCCTCTTCCACTCCTGGGATCAGAGGCAGGACTCAGCTAGGCAAAGTCACAGGTCCAGTGGTGTCATAATGCAGGCATAATCCCTTGCCAGAGACATTTTTAAAAATAATCAAGAAATATATATGCCTAATATACTTGAAAAAGTAAAGAGCTAGAAAAGTTTCTCCATGTTTCCTCCCAGGCACACACAGGCACAAGTGAGTGGGTCATGTGTGGTCTGAGCCCCTTGGGAGCATGCCAGCCATGCACTCCCATCCCATCCAGAGACTGAGGCTATCCAGGAAGACGAACAGGTGCTTGGGCTGGGCCCTGGGGTGGAGCCCAGGGAACTGCCACCACTGCTTTCCTGACCAACATGCCTCCCAAGACTGGCTCAGGGTTAAGATGAAACTGGTATGAGAGAGGAAGGAAAAGCCACACAGGTGACCCTGGCTTCCGTGGTGGTGGAGCAGAGCAGACCGTCTTGCTTGCCTGTCTGTCGTGGGAGCTGCTTTTGGCCACGCTGTCCCCAGAGCTCCCTGTACACTGGAAGCTGCAGATTAGGACCAGAAGGAGCAAGGGAAAAGAGAGAGGCAAGTCAGCAAGTGGCCCAGGGTGGTGACTCAATGAGGTGACCAGGCGGACTGTGGAGGGATGGGGCGGCAGGGGACAGACAGGAGTGTACAGCTAAGCAGGCAACAGAATCCCATGTCATCCCGAGGCGCCGGCCTGCTCCTCCAGCCACAGACCAGGTGGGTCTTGCTGCTGTGGGAATCACAGAGGCAAGTGTTTGAGGAGGCCACCCGCCCAGGGCAGCTGGCCACGGCAGCCACACAGAAAGAAACAGAGCAGCAAGACTCAGGGGTGAGGAGGGTGAGCTAGAGGCCATGGGGTCTCCAGCCCTGGGTGCAGGCCTGATGGTGGCAGGCTGCTCAGACACCCTTGGAGTGGGAGTGGTCTGTTCTCATCCACCTAAGCTGACTGCTCAGACTCTTATGGCAAAAGGGCTTGTCCCAGGATACAGTGAGATCCGTGTGTGCAGATGAACACATGGGTAATCCTGCAGCTCCCACCAGTAAGGCTGTGCATGGGGAGCTTCTGCGTGAAACGGCCCCTCCATCAGGCCCACTTCAACTTTGAGATGACTGAGGCTCAGAAGAACAGTGACTAGAAAGCAGGTCACTGGCACCAAGACACCACTCCCCCTCCCATACTGCTGTTCCTGAATATACAGACCTGTGGATTCCAGTCTCCTTTGTAGAAGTGAAGGTGGTTTCAATCTCGTTTCCATGCTTCAGAATTCTGGGAAGTTCCTCCAGAGAGCTGTAATTCGAAGTGTGGCCTTCTCAGAACAGGTGGCTCTTGTCCCCTGGGATGGATATGAGGTATCCATCTCATACCCATCTCTCTGTGACCTGGCCTCCTCCACAGGGCAAGCTGGGAAGATAAATTTTTGATTCTCGGAAGATGCCTCCTGCCCTTGGGGTCCACAGAGCCCTGCTGCTGGCTGCCCCTGACCTTAGACACCACCAGTGATCCATGCCTCCACATGCTTCCTTTTCAGGGTTCAGAACAGTACTGTTTTCAGAGGCTTCCTAGGTTGTGGGAAGAACTGAAATCACAAGTGCCCAGGACAGGAGAAAAGACTGACAGCCCCATGTCCGCATCCATCTTCCTGTGAGTGTTTTGGGCCCAGGCGGAGAAGGATTTACAGGATGGGAGGGCCCAGGGATAATGGGTGCCTCTTCTGGGCCATGACAGCAGCCCTTTCCCTCGGTCAGCTCCAGTGGGCCCTAATTGAGGGGTCAGGAAGGCTAGCTGGGGGGAGGGGCGGGGGGGCTTGCTTCTGTGTGCCGGAGGTGGCTCCCTACGGTCACCTCAGGCTGGTGGGCTCACCCGCCGACTACTTGCCTTTTACTGTCGACTACTTGCCTTTTATTGTCTGCTGTATTTTTCCAAAATGCAGCGCTCTGCACAGAATGTGTCTTACTTATAAAATCAAAGGAAGAAGGAAAACAAAAAGGTTGGTGTAGTCTTTTTGTGTTTGAGAGAGTTGTTCCCAAACACTCTGCGGGGCACAGGCTTCCCCCTGGTCTACAAGGAACATGAGTGCCTGAGAGCAGCTGATTCCCCAGGGACCCCCATGAGATGCCCTCCTCTTTCTGGGAATCATGTGCTGCTGAGGGCAACCAGAAGCCTCCTCTGCAGAGTCCCCAGCCCCATCCCAGCCATGGCCCTGGAAGCTCATCTCAACATAGGAACCTAAATTAAGCAGCAGGCAAGCCCACACCCCGGGCACCCGAGTCCAGGCCACCTGACCACTGTGTCAGATCCGTGCATGGGAAAGGCAGGCTGTCCCCTACCCGCTCTCTGCCTGCCTCTGCCAATCCTGCTTGAGAACTTCATCTCTCCGCACCTCATGTTCCCCAACCCTGTCTGTGCCACTGGCTCCAGGCAGCAATAGCAGTGAACAAAATTGCTCCTTCCTTATCATCTTAGATTTTGCCCATGGTTTTGGTCACGACACAAAAATTATCCCCTCACTGCCTGAAGCATGAAGAATCTGCCCAGCCTTCCATATAGCCACTCACAGCAATTCTGCAGAGCCTGCCCTATGCCAGACAGGTGCTAAACCTGAAGCATACAAAGACCCTGCTCAAGTAAAATGGATCTTTAGCTTAGGCGTCAGGTTTTGGAGCCTGGAAGAGTGTATCAGGAAGGATTCTAAGGCTGCCCATCAGTTAAGGTGAAAATGCTAGGCAGTGGATTCATGATGGCTGCCATGGGCCCAGGAGGGTCTCGATGATACAAATGCCATGAATCTGCCAACTCTGCTCTAGGGGGTCAGATATAAGGGATGGTCAGAGAGTTGCCCAGGCTTCAACTCTCTCCTTCCCCTCTTATAGCCCCCAGATCTCCATCTTGCCAGCCTATGAGCCATTTTGAAAATAAAACATCTCTCTGACTTTGAAACTGTCAGACCAAAGTTTTTTCCATCCTTGTATGCCTTTTCCACGGCCCTATGACACAATTTGAGGAAATTTTTATTCTGTCCATTTGGAAGGTGAGAAAACTGAGTCTTCTTATTCATGATCTTATTCACTCAAAGCCCACTGCAGATGCTCTGGTTTGTGGCTTTCCTGGGCTCGAGAATTCCAGTCCCTGCCATTCTGTAGAGCCATCATCTTCAAAAGTCTTTGGGGTCCTTCCCTGAAGCAGAATGGGGTGAACGTGGAGCTTCAATAGGATGTGGTTGATAACCCAAAAATTGACTGCCTCCCCACATCCCAGTGACCACAGTCTAGGTACATGACCCCAGTTTTACTGCAAGGGAGGCTGGGAAATGTAGTCCAGAAGGGTCCAGGAAGAGCAGGTGGGCTTGGGACTTCAGATCAGTTATTGCAACCCCCACAGTGTCAACATCAGGACTGTAGCTACCCTACCCCATCAGCCATGCCCCATAGGTCCCCAGGCACTTTCTCAAGTCTCCTTCTGGCCAAGTACTAAGCAGAATGTTCAAACCGAAACCTTCACACAGATACTTAGTTTTAGCTGCAGGATGTTTGATCAGTTAAATACCAGAGAAATGTAGACAGAAGATGTTACCATTAACCTAAGAGGAAATTGCATAGAGGGAGTCAAAAACCACCTTCAAATTATAAAAAAATAATAATAATAATTGGCACAGTTCCTGGACTCCAAGTATGTTTGTGTAATGAGCTGCTACAGGGGAATTCTCTCCCTAACCGTAAAACCTAAAGTCCCATTCCAGGAGGCCCAGCTTAATTACAATGCATTTGGATGTTAAAGTTGTAGTCACTCAAGAGCCACAACAGTTGCTTAATTATGAGGACTCTGGAGGGGATCTGATAATTGGTTTTTAAAATAATGTCTTCTACACAGTCTTTGCACAAGGAGGCCTGGGATCCTTCCAAGCATTAATTAATGTCCCTTCAGGAAGTCTCAGGTAGATGGCCCTTGGAGAACAATGAAATTTGGAATCTTTGTCAGCAGAATAGGTGTGGCTAGGGCGAAGACAGTGGCTCACAGTCCAGGATGCACAGAAGAGGAACAAAGTCAAGGCTCTGAGGCCAGAGGGTGTATGCACCGCTGGAGGAGTGGCCCAGCTCTAGGAGGCCGCAGATCTCAGCATCACAGAAGAAATCAGCTGAAGGCACAGGATTAGCTGAAAGGATTTTGGCCCAGACGGGACACTGTAGCCAGTAAAGCCTCAGCGGAACCAAGGAACCTTATCTTCCTCACTCCTAGGAATTTACCTGTGGCTCCATCTTCCCCACCCCCAGGAATTTTTACCTGTGGCTCTATCTTCCCCACCCCTAGGAATCTGCCTCTGGCACGAAACAAATGCCAATGGGCTACCTGTGCATCCCTAATGCCCCTCAGGCACCACCTGCAACCTAAGCTACTTATGCCCCCACTCCACCTCCATGTGTCCCACGGAGAGATTCCCAGACCCCGGGGAGAGATTGCCACCCCCGGGGAGAAAATGCTGGACCCCGGAAGGTGGGGGGGAGTCTCTCCCTGCATTCTTAAAATAAAGGTCATTTATATTTCATACTTCTATCATTAGCGAGTGCTGAGCTCCATGGGAAGAGGGCCGTGGAGTCTGGCTCTGGAAACAGAGCCTTGCAGGATGGGCATAACAGGTTCCAAACTCCGGGGCAGGAGGCAGGGACCATGAGAAAAGGAGCGTTCTCCCTCTTAAAGGAGGAGGCATTGTTCAGGTCTCTGTCACAAGTGGGCAAGAAGCATGCTAGAGATGGCATCTGCAAAGGCCATTCCAAGCAGCCCGGACATCCCAGCGAGTCTCAGGAGAACCTCTCCCCAAAACCCACTGGTAAACACAGCACACAGATGTCCCCCACAAGATTCCTATGCCCTCGCATCTTTTAACTACACACTTCCTCAGCAAACTCCACACTGAAATCTTGCAAGTGTGTAAGGGGAGCCAGCAGGGTGGGGGTGACCAGCTAAGGGGAGACCTGTGTCCACATAAAGAAGGCAGGCACCAACACAGGGGGCCACTAACCTGGCACTGAGGCTCATGAGGTGCCCCAGGGAAACTTCTGAGCCAGCAGAATTTGCTTTTCCAAATGACAACTGTCAACTGCAGTTGTAGCTCAAAGAGCCAGCTTAGTGGGTACGAGGCCCAGAGTTCACACCGAACACTGCATAAATAAGTAAGTAAATACTCTTTTTAGGGTCCTCACATAAAAGCCAGAAGCCCAGTGGAATAGTTATACTTTACCACTTTCTTACAAACTTCACACACACTTCATCTTTATTAATGCAATCGTAACCAAAGTTTAAGAATAAATGAATAGAACTTTTAAATTTTATTGTTTTTAACGTGTCAGTACAAAGATGTTCCAGATAAGCTCTTTTTTAAAAGAATACTTTGTGACTTGTGTGTGTGTGGTACAGGGGATGGAATCCTGGGCCTTCACATGGAGCTACCTTCCAGCCCCTTTTCTGCTTTGCTTTGCTTTCCTCTGCCTTTGACAAGGTCTTGTGAATTTGTTCAGGCTGCCCTTGAACTTGGGAACCTCCTGTCTCAGCCTCCCAAGCTGCCAGGATTACAAGTGTGCACCCCTCTGGCTTCCTAGACACTTTGGTCCCTAAATTAAGGAGGGCCGTTTTTTTTCTTGATAAAGCACTGGGACAGCCTCCTGCTGTTTGCTGGGAGAATGTGTCCCCAATCCAGACAAGGGAAGCAAGGCGGGGCAAGTTTCACACACACACACACACACACACACACGCGCGCGCACACGCGCGCACACACACAGACGCACGCGCACACACAAACACACATACACCCTGCTCCTCACTTGGGGTGGGGGCTAACAGGAGGCTGAGCCACAGCTCTGCAGCTCCCCACATCCACCCAGATCTAGTCTGGAAAGCATGCAGACATAGTTGGAATTCCAAAAATGCGGCCTGTCTGGGCCCTCAGCCCCTCCCCGAAGACTCCCAGGGAGTCAAACAGGCTGGACTCCAGAGCTGGCTGAGGATGGGGCAAACATCCTGCACCCCAGAGAGTGATCCAGCCCCACCCTCTGCCAGAGATTTCCTTTACCCTCGGAGCTGTGGCAAGGCAGAAGCCCAGCCCTTCCACTGGGCAACATAGCCCCAGGGGCTCCCCCTCGGGATTCTCAGGAGGAGCCCAGCCCTGAGGGCCCTTGACAAAATAGGTGACACAGTGGACCAAAGCTTGGGCAGACAGGACTCTGCGGACAAGGGACAGTAGGTAGGACACAACAGGACAGAGGATGGATCAGTGGACAGAACATAGGGGATAACAGACAGGACAGTGCAGACAAAAGACAATCAGCAGAGAATGGCCTTCGGGGTAGAAAATTGGGAATGTGCCTGTCTTCCTGCAGCTCCTCTGAACCAAACTGTTCCCTCTCAGCCTC